CTAATAGGATAACACTTATACATCTTCAATACAATACAGTCTAATATCACTAAGTTCCCCTCCACAAATATCCATATATTTTTGAGAAAGGATTTTTTTATTCGATTTTCAAAAATAAATTCTAATCCGCACGTAGCGTTTTCGAATCGTTTTTGCCCTTCAACACGTATCCGTTTCTTCAATTCCATTCCCAAAGATACAGATATCCGTATGTGTATATATACTTGTGGATCGGGCCTAAGGCTATTAGTATGTCAAGACCAATTTCAAGCTGTCTTAGAAGAAATAAATGGGAAGATCATTTTTTAAAAGCGTGAAAATAACGAGGAAAAAAATGCTAAATAAAAAACAAGGCCGGCCTTTTTTGCTACTGATATAAAATATAAGAATACTTAGTATTCGCATGAACTGCCACAGAGAATCGGGGATTTTGCGCGTATATTGAATAGTTAGATAACGAGATATTTGATATTACTTTTAGCGCTAAGTTGTTGGAGAGGCTTTTATTGGCTCATTGTTTTTCATTAAAAACAATTAAGGGAGGACCTTCAATTTTTTTTATCAAAGCCTGAAACAACCTCTGGGCTGATCTAAGTCAGGGCATGGATAACTCACAGATAGAACCCTGAAACAAACTCTGGGCTGATCTAAGTCAGGGCACGGCTAACTCACAGATCGAACCCTGAAACAACCTCTGGGCTGATCTAAGTCAGGGCATGGCTAACTCACAGATTGAACCCTGAAACAACCCCTGGGCTGATCAAAATCAGGGCATGGATAACTCACAGATCGAACCCTGAAACAACCTCTGGGCTGACCAAAATTAAGTCAGGCCATTGCTAACTCACAGATCGAATTAAAATCTAGCGTGTTATGTTTTGAGAAGGAAGGGGCTGATCAAATGGAGAACCCGGAGAAAACCCGTCGAATCAAGGGAGAGACCTAACAGACTGACATATGCGATGTGCCGAGAACAGGAATCGAACGCGATACCCCATTTATTTATAAAATGGTTGAAAAAAGATGGGTTTTTTCGAAGCTAAGAGCGAAGGGTGTTCTGGGTAAGCAGTTAATTAGGCTTATATTATGCATATTTTGCAGTTTTGCAGCTATCGAACATTCTTTCATTTTATTCTATGCTTATAAACCCTAATTAAATACGTTTAAAATACGTTGACACACATATATAATTAACATTGATTACAAAATACAGAATGTCACTAAAATATACTCACAGAAATTAAAATTTACAATATTCAATATGTTACAAAAATAATATTGTGATAATTACAGAGGATATTTTATTATAATTCAGTATTGTATTCCAAAAAGGAAGACAGTCCAAAAAGACTGTCTGTATGCAAACGCTCTCCAAATAATTGCTCCGTAGGAAATCGACTACCCAGAATAACCCTCGGTCTCAACTTCGTTGTTTTCTCCTTTTAAACCCGACAACATAGTGTCATATTGGGTGTATGTGTATAAAGAGCTTAAAAGCTATCTATATCTATCAGGCCTTCATTCGTATCTAAGCAGATCAGAATCGCCATCGAAATCAGCTTACATTTAGTTATTTATGCATTCATATGCTTGGCTATGTTAGCTTTCTTTCATTAATATTTTCTAGTAGTTTATTTTATTCATTCGTTCATTTTTCTAGTGTCTTTATCTTCCTTTCACTATCTCATCTTTTTTTTTTTCGTTTCCAGCTTGGTTTTTTATTTCGTTTCTTTTGTTTCTTTTTGTTTTGTTTTGTTTTCTTTTGGTTTTTGTTTTTTGTTTCCTTCGGTTGTTCCACTCATTTACCTCCTTCGTCCACTGATTTCGTTCATTTTCAGTCTAATTTTCTGCTATTCTACAGTTCAAAATAAACACTCCTTCGATGTCTTATCGTTACTAACTTATACAGTTACAAATACCAAAAATCCTGTGTCTCAACACGGATTTAATCTTTGATGTACACCCATATTTATATATACATGTTTCATATATTTCGATACAGCAAGTATCATAATGCAGTAACACACGTTGATGTCAAGACAATATCGGCAATATTGATAAGCTACTCCTTATCTTAATGAAAAAAGAAAGCATGCTTACATCTATATCTCTCTATCTCTCACACACACACACACGCAACGCCTTCGAAAAAAGTAGTTATTGAATGTTCGGGTTACAAAAGTTGAAAGTTTGAAAAATACATAAAACTTCATAGTCTAACGCAGGCTAACAATAAGATGCTAGCTTGCAAATAAGATGGCTCGAAACTCGTAGACTATTTTTGCCTAATCTTATTTTACTTAGTATATTAATAAAGCCGCTTATCACCTTCTTCTTATAAATCCCAGAATTTCAAAAATCCTTTAAGAGTATCAAAAATAGAAGTGACAAATTCTGATGCAAGTCCGTAATTATATTTTGTTTTCCAAAATGTCTAGGAAATTTTTAAAAATTTTTTTAAGTATTCTAAGCCAAGCCAGAACAAGAAACTCGTAAATTCGTATTGTTTGCTTGAGAAGAAAATAAATAAATAAATAAACGAATAAAGAAGCGGAGTTCCTCTCAGATGTCACTTATCTTTTGCTAATGACGTTTTTGACAATGCAAACAAGCGGTCCTTTGAAACTTTTCTTATGAAGAGCTAAACTGCTCACGAAATTGAATCCTTGCACGAAGTCTAAATTTCTACGACCAATATTTTTCGTGACGAAGATTATAAGAATCGTTTTAACGTTGTATTTATAAAATGCGTTTATCACCTAGGCAAGCCTTCCCTCTAATCCCCAAAGCTCAAAGTAAATTCTATAAAAATGAGAGCGTTGAGTAAACACAGCTTTAAGTAGACAGCTCTCCTATATCGACCACACAAAAGACGATTTACATAGATTAGTAATTCTATCGAAAGAATAGCAACAGTATGAGTGCGTAAATCAATAATTTAATCATAAAATCTGTCTAGTGTAATCCGTTTTCGTGCCTTTTTCACYTATCTTGTTTAAAATTTATATTGTTTTTTTTAAGTACAGTAAGGCAATAACCGCTCGTTGCTTCTCCAAACCAAAAAAAGAACACTTAAATGGTTTTTTCCTCCGGTGATTGGCATTTATGGCGAGGCGTTTGATAAATTGGTTATCAAACGTAGAGATAAATTAGAGTTTGGATTGACTTGATAACGAACTGTTTAACATTTCCAAATTACTGTGTTTTCGAAATTTGAGCTAAATATTTAGATCAAAAACAAAGCATATTCAAATATTTTCTTAAAAAATTCTATACAACCTTTTGTAAAAAAAATTGGAATTGTCGGATTTATTGAAACTAAACCAAATGAATCTAGCGCTCGACATATTTTTCAATGGACTGTTTTAGATAAAATAAAATCATATTGTACAAATATTACATTAACAATTTAACGTTTAATAAGAGAATTTCGTTGGGTTTTTGGTGATTTTGAAGGTTTGATCAGCGACACCGTTAAGTTCTCCAGTAGAGCACTTGTAGAGATTTGGCGAGCAAACAAGATAGAGGGAATTGGCCAAAATCGAATGACAAACAAACAAACAAAACAAAGAAAACTTGTTTTGCCATTCCCTATGTGATGCAAGTCAGTAAAAATAAAAATGTGAAATCTAAATCATTAAGAATATAGATTATCTTAATGATGTAAAAACGGCTTTATATAGTCCAAAGCTGTCGCTATAAGTTTTGCGATTTTATCTCAAATTTCGAAATGCATAAAATAGCCCACTTCTAGAGAAGTAGAGGATTAAATTGTAAAAACCAACTGAACATTTGGTTCCTAATGAGTTTATGAAGAGATCAAAGGAATAACGAAAATACAAAATCATAAGATTAAAAGACAAAAAAAACAAAAAACAAAACAAAGAATTTTTCAAAATTAAGCTTAAAAAATCTCAAGTTTACATTCATCAATCGATTGAATAATTTGTAACAAAACGTGCTATGTCCAAAGAAAATTAAAAACCCTTCCAGCGAAAAACCGAAAAGAAAAAAAAACCTTTATCATCGTGATTCAGAAATCTTTTAAAGTGTTTTTAGTTTTCTATTCTCATTGCATGACAGCTGCCAAAGACTTAGGTGGTCAATATCTATTGATAAATCTATATTCACTTCCGAATTTATATGAAGCATTACAAGTTTGTAAAGTAGAAATTCGTATGCCGAGACGGTACATGTATGCTTAGAAGAAGACGTTTTCTTCCCGAATATGATCAGCTATAATTTACTAATTTTTCCATATTGTCGAAAACTGAACAAGATATATCCAAGTCCCCACGCTAAGTGCAAACCCACATTGTTAAAGCGTTTGGGCGGAGCAGTTCTCAAAGATTTTCGTCGTCTTGTTGCGGCAAGTAATCTCGAATTTACTGACCTAACGTGTCCACAAACAGAGCCACGCCAAAAGTTCAATTTTGTGCATATTTTCATTGATTTAATACACGGGTTTGCTTCAATTTGTACTTAACTTGTACTCGAATATGATCATTTTAAATCGAATTTCCCGCCTGGCGTTTATGTTGCTATACAACAGTGATAGGGCACACGTTTGATTATGATAATAGGACCGGAGCAAAGCTTTAACAAGTTTTAAAAAATACGAACTTCTAAAACGACGAACCGACATAGCACAATAAAAATGACTACTAGTGAAACAAGGCGACGTTAACATAAAACACATTCAATCAACACATTTTTAAACCTTTTTAAAGCGCACACCGTTTTCTTCGCAAATATTTATTATTAAAAAGAAATGATGCTAGAGGAAAAATTGTTTGAATTCAACAACAAAAGAGCACCCTTTCTAGAGTATTTCTAGTATGAAGAAAAATTTTGAAAAAGTTGAAAAATAAGAATGAAATAAGACGAAAATCCCTGCATTCGTAATCAACCCCAACCATTGTGTGCCTTAAAAGCGAAAATGTTGAGACCAAATATCAATTATTTAATAAATTTTCAAATTTCTACTTCTTTCTACTTACCCAGCTTGATTTTCTTAATCGACGTTTGAAACCAGAAGTGATGTAGAGAATGCAACGACTGTCCTGTGCAATAAAATCAACGTTTGCTTAAAAAGAGGCGAAATGTCATATGGGAAGGACTTAGAGGGATTTTCTGTAGTTTAAAATGGTATTTTGTCAGCTCTTGTTTATTAACCAATCACGAGGTTGAACGTCTGGAAGCCATTGAAATGTATTTTCTGCCTTAACCAATAGAAACTCCAGAAAAACAAACATTAATTCTTTGTGGTGATTCATCCAATAAGAATTGAGAAGTGAGTAGAAGCCATTTCGAAGCTAGTCTTTGACCAATCAGAACTCTTTTTTTAGAGTGGTATTTTTAAACTATAGCAAAAACGATAAGGTTTTTCAAGATCAATCAAAGCAAGTAAGATAAGGCTCTCTTTAATTAACACCGTAATATCATTCTAGAAAAATATCCTTCAAACAAAAAATAAATAGCAACATTATCATTATAAAACTGAAATACTACGTGGGGTATTTTCAAGACTATTCAACTTTAATGACTGTCGACGTTTCAAACTTATCTCGAAAAGCTCAAGCTTGTTTACCTTATCTTTTTTATCTTTTTTTAATTCGGCATTCTATTTCCTTTTTAACGTCATTAGACGTGTTGTTAAAGAAAAATTAGTTTGTTTTGCACGTATAGATATCCTGGTTTTTTTTTTTTTGCTTGCATTATACGACAACGCCCGACGGTATGTCCTTGAAAAATGATGACAAAACGTCGACACAAGATATCGCTTTATTTACGTATACTACTTCAATTCAGCGTTAAAAGACTCAAATTTGAGATTGAGCTGTCGCGACGGACCGACAGAATTGTCACAATCTATTACCACACATTTTAATTTGAACAAGTTGATGTGATGGTTTTTATAATCATGACAAATTGGATGAATTTTTTGATTAAAAAAAAATAGAAAGACTGAATCCGTTGCGCATTTACTGTCTTTTTTCGTTTCGTATCGCGTTTTAGAAGCCGGATTTTTGTACGGCTTTGATGTCAAAGTCTGTTTCAGTAACCAAACAAAGACCAGAACGATTTTGAAAAACGTACGAGATACAAAACATGGTAAAGGAAGTGTTTGTTTGTTTATATCGCGTTGTTTTTTGTTGTTTTTTTTTGTTTTTGTTTGTTTTTGTTTTTTTTAATTTTCATTATTTTTATTATTTATTTTTTCGACGCAAAAGCAAAAATATGATCACTGAATCTAAAGACTAAATATTTCTTTTTCATTTAGAAACGATTTATCAATTTACTTCAAATTTGGAAATAATTACTGATTTTGAAGGCTGGTCTGATTCCTTACGTTGATGATATAACCGATAAGATGAGGATAACCTGAACTATGAAAATAAGCCAGTATTTTTTCCATTTTCAAGAAATTTTCAAGCGGTTGTATTCGTGCAACCGTTAAGTGACCCTACTGCAAGGCCAAGACTAACTCTTTTCTTATGGGTTTCTTGGGGAAGCAAACCTATTCTCCACAGATGTGTCGCAAACAAGCAAAACGAAATTGTCAGGTTTAATACCCCAGTGAAACTTGTATCGCCATCAATGCTGATGCACAGAAGTTTCAGCGAAAAGTCTCAACGTATAACAGGGCATTTATACTTGAAGATCGAGAGAAAATTGTATGTTAGCGCGCATACAGCGAGTCGCTCCAGACTCGAATATTATATCAGTATCACGTCTGCAGTATGATTTATCACGATGTTTATCAGATATTTCGGAAATAAATTAGACTTATCATCAACACTAAATCACTGCCGGAATCAAACAGGAACCTATTCCAACCACAATAAAACCATTTATTTCACTTGTGAAAAACTTACAAGCTTGTTTGGAAATATTTTAAAGTATGGTTACAAACATGGAAACATTGTGTGTGAGTCCGGCTCGAGTTCTTGACATGCTGATTTCTTATTGAAATATTAAGTACAATTTATTTGGAACTTCAAAACCATACCCTAAACTTGCGATTTAGCCCAGTCAGCTAGAGTTAACTTTTTGTGTGCGTGTATGTGTTTTTGTTGTTTTTTGTTTTGTCGATTTAGCCCAGTCAGCTAGAGTTAACTTTTTGTGTGCGTGTATGTGTTTTTGTTGTTTTTTGTTTTGTTTTGTTTTGTTTCGTTTTGTTTTGTTTTGTTTTAAAAATTTTTTCCTGTTCTTTTTCTCGTGCCTTCTATAGCTCCTTCTCCTTCTCCTTCTCCTTCTTCTTCCTCTCTTCACATCCCGTATAGTTCAATCAATTCTTTCTCTCCCATCAAGCATGTTGATTTATTACAAAATATATATAGGATCGATCGATCTCGAATGTAGCGATATTGGAATCAGAAAGATTGGCTATTAAAAATATAATATATATGAAATGTAATTTGTGTCACTTAACTCGTGCTGTATTAACTGAATTCTATATTCTATATACGAAAACGTTGTGGAAAAACGAATCTTAAATCTCAAAAAATAAAAATCACTGAATAGGACAATTTTTAGCGGAGAAAATTTGTCATGTTTTTACTGGCTAACTCGTGCTTTCTTTTTTATTTGTTCAGTACGTTTGATTCATTATTTCCTGCAGTTTTTGCTGTTTTTACAACCCCTTTCCTGAAGTTAGGCCTTAACAGATTAAGAAACGCTTATCTTAAGTGCCGCCAAAAGCAGGGGTTTATTGTGTGGTAAAAGCGAAAATCCGGTCAAAGCTTGGAACAATACTAGTAAATTTTCATTGAGACAAACACCAAGTTTTCCTGAAAATTTCACTTTTTTTTTTTTTTTTTTTCCGCCTGCGAAACTTTAGTTTCCCTCAAAAATGCATGTTTTCCAAACTGTCTGGAGTTTCCCTCTCGACGGTAATTTCTTATTATACCAAAGAAGCACTTTACTGCCTTAGTTACGAGAGCTCTTATTTATAAATCTACTTATTTTGAAAGCTCACAAACTTAATTGGCTTGGTATTCGTTGTGGTTTTGTCTTTTGTTCGGACGAAAGTAAAAGGACTACTGTTCCGTCTGCTGGGAATTCGAACTTAATATGCTGTTAGTCTCTTAACACTTGAGCGTCCTTGTACAGCAACGAACTCGTAGCAGAAGAATATATATTCGCTGCAATTTATCATAATCAAAATGAAAGAATCGACCGATCGCCTGAACGATCAGACTAAAAGAACTCCGGGCAGACGGACGGTCGAAGAACGAGCAAATAACTAGTGGTAAACAAAACATTTCAGAACGTTTTTCTTTTCTTTTCTTTTTTTTTTGAAAAACGAAAAAAAAATTTTGAATGCAATATTATGCAACCTTAAAAATCAATTGGCCTTTTGCTGCAGCCTTTCCCTTGAGTTTTATTCTTTTTTAACGGTTGGAAGAAAAAAAGAAAGCAGACTCTGAGAATTTAATATTCGTGGTTAGACAGTCATTTGCATAGTGGACACAAATATCAAAGTAATCTCAAAGTCGAAAATTGTTTCTCGGCTGGAATTTTCCGATATCGGTTACCAAGATACATTAGCTGAATGTAAACATTACACAAATGGCTTTATACATCCCGGTTGTTGGATAAGTAAGCCATAAAATTTCATTTGAATAAGGTTTTTTAATTAGCAAACTCGAAATATAGATTATACTCTTCTAAAAACAATTGCTAATGTTAACAACGGATGATGTAAAAACTAGTAGGAAAAACGTTTTTCCTCCGCATTTCTACTTCTCAGGAGAAAAGTGAAGTTGAGAATTGTACCAGTCGGCCAATGCCAGTAGTACCTGTAGCAAAAACCATGCGAGTTAAAAACACACAATTGCAGAATTTCGGGTGTGATTTTAAATGGTAAATTGATTCTTTATTAAAAAAGCTTACCGTTTGTCGATAACACCGCCTTTCTGATAAATAAATCGTTGGAAAGATAGCATTTATATGCTACTTATTTACTCGTTTAATTACAGTGTGAGAACTTTAACACCTATGTATTTAGTTAGAACTAACTCGTCACGAAAAGATTCATCACGAAACGTAAATAAGAAGGAAAAAAAACAGGCTGATATATGCAACAATTATAGTATTTGGCGGCATTCGGCGAATTAGGTCTCTCTCTAGGTTTGTTTTTAAGCATCGAAGTAGACAGATGGCTTTCATGCCATTCTCCAAGCATTGCAATCGATATAGTAAGGTTTTAATAGGATTTCTAGGTTTCCAAGTGGTCTCAGCACTGAATAGATTATTTTTTTTAGAAAGAAATTCAAAAGCAAACTGAGTTGGACGTCTAAAACAGGATATCTAATTATAAGGCAACACTGACTTTCAATATTTTGACTGCTGTTTTGAAAAGAATATTTCAAAAATACAGAAAAAGGAATAAAAAGTCTGCTGAAGTTTTTTCAGTTTTTGTTTATCAAAAAAAAAAAATTGTTTTAATAAACAGAAACTGAAAAAGGCGAAAAGTACATGGAAGATTTCTGTTCCACAATCCGTGGGAAAATTGAATGATTTAAAGTATATATTATTATTCATAGCGCAGATGGAGAACAATTCTGATACTATAAATATCAAGTTAACCCCCGATTTAGTCAAATCAGTGATTAAAACACAAACAATACTCGTACTACGAATTCTAAAAAACGAATCAAAGCCACTATGTATATATCTGAAATTTAAGTTAGAACAGCTAGGACTAGTGATGATTAAGCACATACCTACTTCAAGCAAGCGATTTTTTCATTCCACTTTAAAAGCGTTCAGCTTTGAGGCATCTGCTCAGACGGCGTCGAGGTGCCCCTCGGCGTTGACTAAAAATCTTTGCAACAAACATCAAAAATAATCAATGACATCATATCTACTACATGCTGACTTCTATTTGCATTAATTAAAGCCAATTCACCATTTTCCATACATCGGTTCACTGGTCAAACACAAAGCGCTCAAGCGAGGCGCTAAGGTACTTTCAAAGGATTATTCAAATTTGAACCTTGCAACCTCGACTGAATGCTTTGTGTTTTTGACCAGTGAACCGATGTGTGGAAAATGG